ATAATTTATTGGCAGGATATTGAGTAGCTTGTAGAGTATATGGGAAGGGGAGAGCCAAGTTAGGAACTGGCAGGAGTGAGGAGGGATGAGACAACTGCCTGCACAGTCTGATAGGACACATCTGGCTGCTGCCACTGGATGCCCACATGGGCAGTATATCATAAATATCACCCTACTGTTGGCAAGTTGGCATGAATTTTCCATGAAACGCTCTTGACTCCCATTTGCACCGTCATATCTACTTTTTATGTACCTAATTATATTTTTCCTTTAACTTTTATGGTTTTTTTTTTCTAAAACTGCCACCTAAATACCTTTCCACTCTGTTAAATGTATGGAGTCAAGATAAATTTCTCATTCTTGCTCTGCAGCTTAAGATGTATAGGAAGTAAACACTTCCATGGAATAGGGCTTAATTTGGGGCTCAGATGTTTTGGGTTTTTTCCTCCTTAGATGTTTTTGAATGGATAAAACTACTCTGGTTTTGGAAGCAGCAACTTTTCTCCTGACCTGGAAGAACTAAGGACTTTGATAAACAGTTTCCCGTTGATAGTATCATATAATGAGGGGCGCAGTCTGCTTTTGTGAAAATTGGCCCAGCGGCAGCAGCCCACGCCAGCTGTGTGTGAGTAGCCCTGCTGTTAAAAGTACACTTGCTGGGAATTGTTGGCACATGCTCATAACATATGCTCTGGGGGGAGGTGCTTTTAATTCCAAGAGGAGCTTTTCTATCACATCTGCAGATGCAGAGCAAAGATGCAGCAGGACTTTAGAAAACAGGAGTGTTTCTATTGACATTTTATTCATTGCTTTGTTAGTCCCCCAAATGGAGAATCTTCTGGTTGTTTGTAAGCAGAAAAAACAAAACATTCAAAACCAAAAACCTAATTAGTACTTTTGTCCTTTATATCCATAGTCTGACAAGCAAGTAAGCATCCTCATGGTGAGATTTTGAGGGATGCTTCCAGAACCGTCCTGCTTCCTATGTAGCTCCCCCTTCAGTAGCTGTGCAACTCTTTCCTCCTGACTAGGAACTTCTCTATTGTGGAAGTCAGTTCCTTTGGCTAAGCTGTCCCTTGAGAGAACCCTAGGATGCCCTAGGGAGTAGAGGTGGCAGGCATCTTTATCTTCGCCCACTGGCACATTAGCAGCTTATGCAACTTAGGAAGTCACTGGGAGATGAGTCCCAAGAGGGTGAATTTCAGGATGGGGAGGAGATAAGAAGCAGAGAACTTTGGGAGATCATGGGGCATTTAGTCCTGGCACAGATGCAGAATGAATATCCACAGGAAGATTCCTGAAGCCAGATATGCAGGAGAGCACACATTGTCACGAGGGGTGTGATGGGAAGAGAGGTGCTGGATGCCTAAGACAGACTTGTGTGCTTGGCAGATTGACTGAGTGTTGACTCTGAATACTTTGTGGTCCAGTCCATGATGGGTCAGTCACTCCTGCCTGATGCATCCCTATTGCATTGTTCATAGAACCTGTATCATATGGGGAAGCTTCAAGGCTGGCAGGCTTTTCATCAGGTAATCATCATTTCATGTTCTTAAGTATCCTTGAAATCAAAACCAGGCAATGTGTGTTTTTGGTTTTGTTTTACAAAAAGGCATACAATGAGACCAATTCCTAAGATAATGCACATACAGAATCATCAATAAAGTTTCAAAGAGTTTATGAAGAAAAGGTATTTTCCTTTCTTGTAAAAAAATGTATTTTATATATATATATATAATATGCTCATCTGCATTCACCCTAGGGCTTAGCCTCTTGTTTTATGAATTTTCAGGCTGTGATTTGTGTTGGATGGTTAAGCTCTAAAATAATGCAAATAGCCCCAATCTTTAAATATAGCGGTGCTAAGTTGAACAAGTAACACAATACAGAAAATGCTGATATGAATTAATACTTAGTAATAATACAAAAGTTCCTGCTAAATTATATATGTGTATCACTGCCTGATTAGAAACCCCACTTTTCTTTCCTAATCCAGCACAAAATCAAACTCTGATTCTACAACCAGTCTTTTTAAAGGGCAAAAATGACTCAACACCTTTGTTTTGTATGGAAAAACTTTTTTTTTTTTACACTAACTGCAAAAGTGCTTAAAAATGTTTATTCAGGATAACTAAGCATGTACTCCTTTTTTAACTTGCTGGAAGACTTGCCTCTCCAAACTAGCACCCCCAAAAGACAACTTCTTTCAGAAACTGGATGTTTTACCTAAACATAGTAGCTTCAATGTTAGCCAGCGGTAGGTCGGCACTAGTGTTTTCCACGGTTATCACCTTTGACAGGTGATGTCCATCTATAGATAGTGGAAGCCACCCCATGGGGAGGTGTTAATAGCAGCATGGTTTCACTTTTGGTAATCAGGTAATCATGTGTATATACTTAGATTCGCATTATTTTAACATTCCTCTGCTACTCTGCACTTCAGGTTCGTTAAGCTGTTTCAATAATTACTGGGGTTCTGGCAAACACCAATGGAAATGTATATGGCAACTGCTTTCCTGAGCAAGTGTAATTTGTTTTATGGCTGTTCAAGTTATAAAATTGTTCTTACATTGTAGGTAAACAAAATCTTGATGTTTTTAAAGGTCAGTGTAACTTAAGTTACACTGTAACTTCAAATTTCTGGCACAGTTTTATTAGTATTCACTTCGAAAGCTAATAAGATACCATGGTTTTCTATGTTACTCTCATTGTAACATTAGTAAACTGACTTTCAATAAAAGATTTATGTTATTTTGATGCACGACTCTTTTCTTTTTTTTCTCCCAGCCAGTTTCTCTTTCAGAAGCTTCGTTAGGGGTACAGTCAAGGGATTGTTTCTTTTCTGTTCACTGGTGTCCCAGAAGGGGTCACTAACACGATGAGAAATTGAGAAATACAAACCCTTTAGCAAAGCCTGAGTGCTCAATTTGTTGCAGTTTCCTCATCTGAATGGCAGAGGTAGTTTACTTATTTATCTGTTTGCCTCTCCTTGTAAGCACTTCCTCTCTCACCCTAATGAGGATCAATTTCCTCTATCCTGTCCTGTAGACCAGGCGGTGGTGCTTAGTTAATAAGCTCACCTGTGCTGCATTCTAAAGCACTGCGCCTAGGATGGGCTCATGAGTTCATTGCCTAAAAACTGTTCCACCCTGGCCGTTTCATCTTCCAGGCAGGCATGTTACCTGCCCATCATTATTCTGGCATTTGCAGGGTCCTTGCCATCTGCTCATAGGCTGCATAGGAAATAAGTTATAAGTAGTCAAGGTACTGTTTTAATGTGAGAAAAAGAGAAGGAAGTCACTGATGAAGGGCTTATACATTTATTATGAGATTTTAAAAGTTTATGGTGATTACATGCTCCATTTCTTGTATTTATAATATTTTAGTCATATAATAATTCATTTAGATGAACACTGAAACAGTAACACACTCAGCTGAGCCAAAGCAAAGTCTAGTTCACAGATGGCTGAAGTTTTAGCTCACATGCCATCTCACAGACTTCACAGTACCACCTGGAACATCATGCTGAAGGAGAGTCTAAACTCCAGTTTGGCTCAATAGAAGCAAGAGCTTTAATTTAATATGACTGCTGTGGTGCAAATCTATGCCAGCTATCCCCAGGAAGCACCAGGTCTCTGGCAGCCACATTCCTATGTAAGTGCACGAAATGTGTTAAAAGTACTTTATAAATCATGGATCTCTTGAAACACATGAGTAAAGCACACATCTCCAAAATAAAATTAAATCCTAAATGAGGGTGATTTGAGGAGCTTAATTCTGCAAATAGTTGAAGTATTCGAGCTTGAGCTCGCAGCTTTACCATGCTCCAACTGGATTCTTTAAGAAAAAGTAAACAGACCAGGAAATAATTTTAAAGTAGTGGGTGAGGCTACACTAGAAGTATACAATGAATGAAACACAACCCAACATAAAATAGAAGTAAGGCAACAGATTCCACTTGTAATGAAGACTGGCTGTAATTAAAGGAGATGAATACATCAAATTTGTCAAGGGGAAGGAAACTTTCTAACTGCAGGGACATGCTGAAGACTATGCTCCATGCTTTTGGAAAGAATGGGTGAAAGCAGAAGGGGAGGAGATAAAGAGATTCGTTTTGAGGTATCAATAATTAAAACAGAATTAACTGAATGATGTCTGATATGGTTTGGCTCTGTGTCCCCACCCAAATCTCATCTTGAACTGTAATCCCCATGTGTCGAGGGAGGGACCTGTAAGCCCCACATCAAGGGAGGGAAGTGATTGGATCATGGGGGCAGTTTCCCCCACTGTGTTAGTGAGTTCTCATGAGATCTAATGGCTTTATAAGTGTCTGGCATTTCCCCTGCTTGCATTTCTCTCTCCTGCTGCCTTGTGAAGAAGGTGTCTGCTTCCCCTCCCACCATGACTGCAAGTTTCCTGAGGCCTCCCCAGCCATGTGGAACTGTGAGTCAAACCTCTTTCCTTCATAACTTACCCAGTCTTGGGTAGTGTCTTTATAGCAGTGTGAGAACAAACTAATATAATGTCAGAGGGATGGTTTTGTAATACTTTAGCAGTTACCCAAAGCCAATTCAGAACCACAATTGATACAGCACACCTTGGGACTTGTTCAAATATGGCCCATAACCTTCAGCAAGGGCCTTCTTCCCTACTGCTTATCCTCAACCAGGAAATTACCATTTCCTTAAACTATGATTTCCCCAGAGGACCCTGGTGAGTTGAAACCAAACAGCAGGCGCTGGGACACTGAAGGTAAGCTCCCTGCCTCCTAATCCTCTGAGCCCCTTTTTGGCCCTTTTCTAGACAGCCCAGGCTCAAGCAGAGCTTTGTGGCCTCATAGACAATATATGGAGATACAATCACCGTGTAATATATAGCAGGCTGCTTCACATTCTGATACGTAACCTGGGCTAACTAACTTGTCATAGTTACATGTTAGGTTTGAATAATATGTATTTTAACAACAGTTTAAAAATTAATAGTGAAATGAGGCTAAAGATGCTTAGAGAAAATGTTTTATTTTCAATGGTTGACAACTAATTGTTCAGTTGAATGGTGAGTCTCACCCTGCATCCTAAAATAAGACAGATACTCTGCTGGCAAGTAGAAAATAGACTAATTTCATTTTTTAATCTGTTAAGCTCTCTTGATAAAAAAGGCAAATCAGGCCACTTTTAAATTTAAGAAACAAACATTGTTAGTGCTTCTTGTATCAACACACTTTTCATATTCAGAACTACTCCCAAGAGATAACATATTATCTCCTTTTCAAAGATGGGGAAACTGAAACTTGGCATTATCTATAATGACCAAACCACATAGAAAGAGGCACAAGCCAGCATTAGCATTCAGAACTTACTTGAAAGTGTACAGCTTAAAATTTTTTAAAAAATTTCTTCCATTATAAATGTAGTACCTGCTGACAGGAGAATGTTTGGAAAAGCAGTAAGAAGGGAGAAGATGAACTCATGCTCCTGACTCCCAGTGGTAGCCACATCAATGTTTTGGTACATACTTTCCAATACTCTGCTATGTGTATTTTTTAAAGTGTGAACACATGGTATATCAAAATGGATGTATCAGTATTTTAAAAACTAGAATCTGATTTTAAAAGGAAAGCATATAGAAAATCTGAAAAATACTGAAATATATAAAGAAAATTAAAGTCATCTAGAATTCCATTAATCAAAAATAAACATTGTTAATATTTTCATATATTCCCTTAGTCTTTTTCTATCAATCAATTTTCTTTTTATATAGTTAAGCTTATAATGTACAAGATTTTTAAGTATAGTTAACAAAGGTTTAAATAGATGACAAAAAGGGACTTGGTGACAGACAGTATTTGCCAAATTATTCAATAGGTTTTAAAGGGCCTGTGCTAAATTTCTACTAAGGTGAATCCTGACATGGATTACTGGATTACCTTTTTTGTTGTTTTTTTGCACCCAAGTGGGTCTATGTCATTTACATAAGTTTTTATGTGTGGAGTATTCTTTCTAGGAGAGGAAAGGTAACAGTTGTAGTCTGATTAACAGTTTTTAGTGTCTCATAATGAAAAATAAATAATGTGACTTAAACATTTTGCATACTTAAATTTACACAGTTTTAGCAAGAAAATAAGGCATGACTGATAATGGCTCAGGAAAGTTCTAAAGGGTGTAACAGACTAGATCTTATTAAAGTTCCAAAGAATTTATTATCAAAATTAAAAACAAAACTTCAGTTTTACATAAAGTAATAAACTTTACAACAGCGTTGAAAGTCGTGATGTAAGTTTACACATATTACTGAAGGCAAAGAGGACAAGCAAAGGAGGATATTCCAGTTGGAATGTCGATTACATTCATGCAGCTTCCTCTTGATTTAAACGCTCATGACACATTGAATGAACTGAAAGAAAAATCAGCGTTACATGACAGACCTCAAAACACTTATACAGCGCAGCCTATTTCTGGCAGCTTGCATTGGGTTTTCTAATTTGAACGTGGGTAAAACAACCCCTACAACTTTCTAAGATATGAGTAAATGATAGATGGAAAAGTTTCCTTTTCTTAGGGAAGCAGTGTAATATAAAATCCATAGGGTTTCTCACATCAAAACTTCTTAGAGAAAGCAGATACAACGTCAATGGATAAATAATTTAAATAATATCTAAGAGTCTAGAAATGGTCGAGGTCAAAGGCACTTACCACAAACACAAATAACTGGAGTTTATACTGTTGTATCACGTGGGGATTTCCGAACTGCACAGTATTACCCCATTACTCTAATGGAACACCTTAAACAGTTTATTCCCTTAAAATCTGCTTTATTAAAATAAATTGTAGCATGCAAGTATATGTATGCACAGAAACAGAACAGCTAAGCCTTCAGATACCTGAGATTAGAAATACTGGTATTTGCTCTGAAATGTTGGCTTCCCCACTAAACATAAAGCAATAGATTCTGCTCTATCAGTGTTCCCTATACTAGTAAGGTACTGTAAGCTGCTAACCCTTGCAGCTCTATCGCAAGGTCAAGGTGATTATCCCTATTTTAGAGAAAAGGAAAATAAGGATCAGGATGTTTAGAAATCTTTTAAGGAGCCCCATCTGAAGTCAAGGCCCATGGTCTTTCCATTCCCCAGGCAGCCTCCTGATCTTTAGAAACAGCAAGCGGACTGTCAACTAAGAAGTTAACGCATGTTAAAGAGAACACACCCGTAAGCAGGTAAAATAAGCATATTCACACACACATACTAAGCTTTTAAAAGTGTACTTATAACTGCAGCAGCTGCTAAACCAAAAATATATGCATCTTATATTTTGTAATGGAGAATGGAATATTCAGTGATTACAGTCATTTCAGTTCAAGTTTTTTTTTTTGTTTTTGTTTTTCTTAAATCAATGGCTGAGCAAAAACTGAAGAAACAAGTAACCAATCTCCCTAGCTTTGTTATATACATCCAGCTAATGCCATCAAAGATGGCACTTGGTTATGTTCACACTGGTTACATGGCCTTACCCTAACCTCATTTAGTGTGGCTGTTTAGTAAATAACTTGTTTTAAATTGTGATTTGGCTGGGAGCAGTGGTTCACGCCTGTAATCCCCACACTTTGGGAGGCCTAGGCGGATGGGTCACAAGGTCAGGAGATCGAGACCATCCTGGCTAACACAGTGAAACCCCGTCTCTACTAAAAATACAAAAAAACTTGCTAGAACCCAGAAGGCGGAGGTTGCAGTGAGCCAAGATTGCACCACTGCACTCCACCCTGGGCAACAGAGCAAGACTCCATCTCAAAAAAAAAAATTGTGATTTAAGTTGGTGCCTGCCTTATGCCCTCAATGAAGAACATAGGTATGCAAAGCTATTGAGCTGTTACCTATTCTCAATGACAGACATGATTTGTTTATAGAAGACAAAAGCAGATACTATATCTGCATAGTGTTTTTCAAGGGCATTTTTAGTAGAAATCTTACAACAGCTCAGTGAAAAAGGCATTACTACTGTATCTTCTTTATTCATATAGTGTCACAGCAATTAAGAAACCCGCTTAAGTGATCCAGCTAATAAATACAACAAGCTGGGTCTTGAACCCAGGTCTTTGAAAGCAAATCAAACCATAGTCTAACTATAGTTAAGACTAATACATGAAATTAATAAATTCTGGATGATAACTCTTTCTAACTTTTGAATCCCTTATGTCTCTGGCATCCTTAAGATGTTCTTAACAGCTGATTTCAAAGGGATACCCATCTGGTGTACATCTTTGTCATCTACTGTATTTCTTAATTTCTAAGACTTACATCATCATATGGGAAATTCACAACACCTTGCTGAGCAGTATCCCGTCTTCGAAAGCTGTCTGTAAAACAACACAGTAAAATTTATGGTTTTTCTTTAAATGGTTTTTCTAACATCATAAAAGTTAGTTATTTTAGCATTTAATTCACATTGCAATAACATTTAAATTGTGCAACCAATTAACATAAACAAAAGACCAAAGCAAAGAAGCCAACTATATGAATAGTAAAATATTTAATATGCAACAAAATAACAGGCAGAAGTTGGCCGGCTGTCTTTTTCAATGTGGATCTGGAGAAAATACCTTACCCAAAGTCAGTAAAAGCTGTGCAACTTCCATGGCCATTACTTAATTGTGATAAAAGCACAGAATTTCTAGCTTCTTAATAACAAAGATACTGCTTAAGAAACAGAGTCCCCGATATGATAAATGGGCTGTGATCAATTTCTCCACCATTTCAGCTCTGCCCTATGGAAAAGGATTTTACTTTAATTTCATTCTTTCCAGATATGTCACATTATAGGGAAAAATTCATCATAATCTGATCAAAAATGCACAAGTTAGCTGATTATGTTTTAGAACATTTTAGTAAAATTTGTTTATTTTAATGGCAGATTACTTACTAATCTAAAATAAATTCTGGGAAAAAACCAAAAAATTATTCTGCTAGATATGCTTAACAGTAATTTGAAATACTAAAGCAAGAAAAAAATTGGGGAAGAATAAAAGGAGAAGCACTGAGAGATGAAATGTAATAACTGTGTCTTGGCTTGTGGTGATGACATGACCTTATAGAACTCACCTGTAAGAGCCCTCAGTTTGACGCAGCAGGCGATGTAGTCATCGAAGGTGATCTTTCCATTGGTGCTGTATCGTTTTGCAATTGAATTCACAGCCTGGGGACTCAACCTAAATCCTAAAAGAAAAGTCACCCAGTAAAAAGGTTAAAGGATGGCAAAAAGCCCATTAAAAAATAAAATAAAATAAAAATAAAATAAGCACTCGTCTCTACTAAAAATACAAAAAATAAGCACTATTTTATTTTTTAAGACTGTGAACTCATATTAATTATGAACACACACAATTTCTAAGAAAACAGAAACTGCCTTCAGGTAGCAATTATTTATTTATTTATTTATGAGAGGGAGTCTCACTCTGTCGCCCAGGCTGGAGTGCAGTGGTGTGATCTCGGCTCACTGCAACCTCTGCCTCCTGTGTTCAAGTGATTCTCCTGTCTCAGCCTCCCGAATAGCTGGGATTACAGGCGCATGCCACCATGCCCAGCTAATTTTTTTGTATTTTACTAGAGATGGGTTTTACCGTGTTGCCCAGGCTGGTCTTGAACTCCTGAGCTCAGGCAATCCACCCTCCTTAGCCTCCCAAAGTGCTGGGATTACAGGCATGAGCCACCGCGCCCAGCCTAGTTTTAAAAATAAAAACCAACTTACTTCTACCAATGAATGGAGAGTTCTAGTAAGCCATACCCACCCATTGTTGTCAGGGCCTTCTGCAATTCTTGTGGATCTACTGTTCCACTCCTGTCAGTGTCAAAACTGATAAAGTGTTGTCTCCAGCCATTCAGTACAGCCCAGAGTTCTTTAAATTCATTGAAACCCATTTTGCCAGACATATCTCTCTGAACTGTAATCAAGGATCAGAGCTGTATTTTGCAATATTTTCTAAGGATTAAATGAAAGATCAAGGATAAGGGGAATTCAATATTCAATGACTAAAAAAGTTATTGTAGATTATTCTTGGTATGATGTAAGATTAATGATTTAAAAATAGAACAAAAAGGGGCTATGGAGAAAAAGCTCAAGTACCTATGTTTACTGCGGGGAAAAGATAACTTACATGACCTGATTATAAGGAAATAGCGTTGCCACTGTGAACCACTTATAAAAAGCGGTCTTGTTCCTGGAACTGGGCTGTGCTTTCTGGGTGCTTCAGGCTATGCTGTTTGCCCTTCTGTCCTACCATCATCTCTGGTACTAATATTCCCTTGTTTAGTGCTCCCACACAAATGACATGGGATGGACTGGTGGATAGCCAGTGGATAGTCAGCACTAGCTAAACTCAGTCCAACAACTGGGCTACAAACAAAAATCCCATCACTTGCAGAGGAATCAATGTTAAAGAAAACAAAAAAGCTCTCCTGACACTCTGGACTCTCTCTGGACTCTATACTTGTTCTATAATACTTTGATATTTCCTTGAATTTCTGAACAACATTCTGTTTACTAAATTTCTTTTCTTCCTTTATTCACACCAAATTATACCCTATAACAGAAGCTAATTATTTCAGAAAGCTTTTTAGTGATCATTTATTACTTTGTGTTTACTAGGTATTAATTCTAAGGTGAATTCCTTTAGAATTTTAGAAACAAATATTCTAGACAACAATCAAGGTAAAGGATACATCCAGCATTGAAACCATAAGCCGGCAAGTCTCCAGGTTAAAAGCTGTTAAATCAAGAAAAGTACATACATATTAACATAAATCCAAAAATTCACATTACACTGGATACATTCAAATTAATTAGAAATGACTATTATACACTTTTATTTTTACATGCTACTCAATGTACATGTGACTAATCATATGGAACTTCAAAGTAGCCTTTTCTCCATAAAGAGGATTTTCTGCTAGGAACCCAAATTTGATTTAAATAACTTTGATAGAATTCCTTTTAAAAAGTATTACATAGGTCAGGTATGGTGGCTCACACCTGTAATTCCAGCACTTTGGGGGGCCAAGACAGGTGGATCACCTGAGGTCAGGAGTTTGAGACCAGCCTGACCAACATGGCAAAAACTCGTCTCTACTAAAAATACAAAAATTAGCCAGGCGTGGTGGCGCATGCCCGTAATCCCAGCTACTCAGGAGGTTGAGGCAGGAGAATTGCTTGCACCTGGGAGGAGGAGGTTACAGTGAGCTGAGATCATGCCAGTGCACTCCAGCCTGGGTGACAGGGCAAGACTCCGTCTCAAAAAACAAAAAACAAACAAAAAAACAACAAAACAGTATTACATAGTACTGTTCATACTTTCTTGCTTTGAAAGTGTAATATAGAGAGTTCAAGTCACCATAACGAACCATAATGTATTATATCCAACATGGTTGGTGGGAAGTTGGGGTTGCTTTGTTCCAACTCATAAATGACTATAAATTGCTGGTTTTGCTAATTTTGTGTCTGATTGTTTTTCTATTTTCCCTTCAGTGTCAGGTACTGAGCAGTAACCTGCTACCTCAAATAGTGTATGACCTCTTAGCTTATATATGAAACCAGGTAAATACGGGTATTAGAATTATGTGTTAAATAAGAGTACTCTAGATAAGACCCCATGACCAATTCAGTGGTGGCCACTATTCAGAAGGCTTTTTAATTTACCTACAGTTTAGGAGTGTTCTGAGGGCATTTTGGTACCTCACTTATGTAACCAAACCAGAGCACACGCAGTGGGTGTGGTTACTGGTAATCTAAGCATTAGGAAATTAAAAACAAATAACCTCTTACATTGTATTAATGGGAATCAATGACTGAAGAAATTGTATGGGTACAAAGAAGCTATAAGGCTAAATGGCAGAAGTGACAAGGGTCACGTGGGAAAAGCTGGTATAAATTCTGCAAGTTTGTTAACATACAGAACTAACATTTTTTACAGCTCTTTCTAGCTTCATAATTTTTCTCTAACCAAACTGAAATTAAAACAACTGTGCCAATTACTGTAATGTCTCCCAACAGTGCAAACTATAGGTTTTATACATTTAATAGATTCCTGTGTTTGGCATATTCTTTACTGGAAATAAAAGACTAGTGACTATTTCTATTTAGGTCCCTCAATCTCCATCCGATCCACAGATAATATTCTCTTAGATAAGAGGAGGAGGAAGCACTTTTTACACTTTTGGGAAAGAGTTGGGAGATTCTTCATTCTGACTTTTAAGTTGTGTGGAGGTATGAAGTTCCTCTAATCCGGAGCTGTAGTTCTCCACCCTGGTGCTTATCAAAATCAAAGCTTTAAAAGATTCTGATACCTGGGCTGCACCACAGAACAATTAAATCAGGAACTCTGGGTGTGGGACCCAGGTATTTGTATTTTTAAAAAGCTTTTCAGATTATTCTAGTGAGCAGCCAAGGTTGAGACCATCATTCTACTCTTAAGTGTGATTCCTGGACCAGCTATATTAGCATCACCCAGGAGCCTGAAGAACTGCAGAATCTCAGCCCTTAACCTACACCAATAAAATCAGAAGCTGAATTTTAGCAAATGTGCAGGTGATACATATTTATGTTAAAGCAGCTGGCTCAACCTGAACTAGCATCACATGGAAACCTGTTAGAGGTGAAATTCCCAGGGCTCACTCCAGACCTCTGAATGAGAAACTCTAGCGCAGGACCCAGCAATCTGGTTTTTGTAAGCTTTCCAGGCGATGCCAGTGCTGCTCAAGTTTAAGAACTACTGCTCTGGATGGCCTGACAACCACAAGGCAGAGCTGACCGTGTTGGGCTCACGTGAAGGTACTGAAGAGGCTATGAGGCAGACAGCTTCTCTATCTCTGTTAATGAATTGCACCCTCATCCACTCAGCAGTCACCCAAGCCAGAAACCTGGGAGCCTCCTCAATTCCTTCTCCACCAATAATCAATCACCTTCTAAACAGCTGTAAAGTCCATTTCCAACCCCACTGTCTCTTTAGTTAGCATTTCTCTCACCTGTATGACTAACAGCCTTGACTCTTGTTTTACTTCCATGTCCCCCAATTTATTTGTCTTTACCCTACAGTCAGGGGTGGTATGTGCTCTCCTATGTAAAACCCAGTATCAGTGATCTACTGCTCTCAGGATAAAGTCCAAGCACCTTAACTGGCACATAAGGTAACACACTTATTTTGCCAGTCAAGCTCATCTCTTACTCTCATTCAACCCCGTACACTATCTTCATGGAGAATTTCTCAGTTTCTTGACTGAACCACGCTATTTCTGGGTCTTTTGCACATGCTGTTCTAACAGCCTAGGACACAACTTCCCCATCCCACTCATTTCATGGTCGGCCTCAATTTTGATGAACTTTCACTTCTGCTCAGCTTAGGTATCAATTCTGCAAGGAAAATTTTCCTGACTCCTGTCTGGGTTATGTGCCCATCTTATGTGATTCCACAGCCTCTCTCCTTACTTATCCCAGTGCTTTTCCCCAACACCCAGGCATTGACTGTGGCTACAGAGCCAGCACCTAGCTCACAGGAAGTGTTCACTAAAAATGCACTGGTTGAATGAATGGATGGATAGCACCAAATTCTCACCCCCACGCAGGAAGCTGTTAGAGCCCTGCATTTTATATGTACAACCCTCTTAGATCGTCTAAGAAAGAATGTTTTTTGAATAAAATTTTCTGATCTTTACTAATGTTCAAAAAGTAATGTATAATCTTAAATCAAAATGCCAGTGAGGCTACAGGGCTATGATTTTTCTGACTTGGAAAATTTTCCATATTCATTAACTCAACAGCCACCTGTTAAGTCCTTATTATGTTCAGGGCTCAGGGTAACAGCAACTTTGGAGATACAATTGTGAAACTGCATACTGCCCTAGCTGACAGTCTAAGGAAAAGATAAGTCACATACACATACAACCCTAATCATGGTAGAGTGCTGAATTATAATGGAGGCGCCAGAAAGTACTAGACGGGATTGAGAAGTGAGAGGCTCCTTCTTAGTAAGAGAATCAAGAAAGACTTCATAGAAGACATAGAATTTAAGCCAAGCCTTGAATGACAAGAATGATGGGGGCATTTGGTGACAGCTAAGGACCAGCATAAGCAAAAAGAGAAGTAGAAGGCCCAGGACAGGCAAAGTGTAAGTGAAGAGCTCAATATGACTTTCAAAGAGTACAAAAGGAGTGGGAGAAAATATGTTTGGTCAGGGGAGGCTGCATTACAGAGGATCCTGAATTCCTTCTGAGCTGTTAGTAAAGACTGAGGAGGAGAGGGACAGATCAAGATCAGGAATCTGGTCATCTTTTGTGAGAAGGATCTGAAAGGGCAGTGAGATGGCAGTGAACAAAAGTGAATGAACAAAAAATATACCATTCCAGACAGTTCCAATGAACTAGAATGCTGATGTCCCATAAGTTTGGGTAAGGAAAACTCTTTCTCAATTTTGTTAATAGTATAGCTTTTATTAGTGTTAATTCTACTTTAAATAATTATTTAAAATTAAAATTATAAGTATTACATATTATATAGTTGTGATATATAAATGTAACGACATATAATTACAACTATAAATTATTAAATTATCAATTCAACATTTTAAAATAAATTATTTAAATTAAATGTTAATTTTAGTAATTTCCAAAGAATCTCTGCTGTAATTTTACCTTTACTCTTTCTTCTCTTCTATTCATTGTACTAGAATGCTTCAAACACCTTTTCTTCTCACAGAAACATACAATATAATAGACCTAGAAGGAAAGCCCTACCTCCAGCTATTTCTCTCAACCTTACCACAGATGAACAACTAAATTCAGGAAAACAAGAGAAGCTGAATTACAATCTTACTGACTGGAACATAACTTCTCTCACCAACTCCACCTCTAGGTATGACTGCTTCCTTTTAAACTGGTTAAGAAGGGCCCATAGGCTCTGAGCTGGAGTATCCCAACGGCCCATCCAATTCGGATCTGTGCTTTTTGGTTTGGAAGCTGGGTTTAAAAGACTAATCTCCATACAATATCTGTATTACAAAACCCTGACACCTCATAGGCAGGATGGTTCTGTGGTTCAGTACAGCCACCAGAGAGGAGGCAAATGGATTCAATCACATAGTCCCCATGACTCAGGAAATGCTTTCTCTTTAATGCACTGATCTAAGGCCATCACTAAATGTGGCTTTCTCAATGAAATTTTAAAAGGACTGCTCTCTAAGAATATATAACCCATTTTGCTAGTCAGATTCTAAAATCTACCACACCTCATCTACTGAAAGGGTGTAGAATAACAAGCCGTGCTGTGATCTCACTGCACTTTGATAAACCCTGCTATTAGACAGGCCTACCTTGTTCACCAGCTCAACTGCGTAACAATTAACAATTTAAATGTACTACCTACACAGTAAAGAAGAACATCCCCTAATCCAAAAAGTGCTTATTTTGTTAAGGACTAGATTAAATAACAGGAACTTGAAAGGTTCTTTGTTTGTATTAATTCCTCCAAACTAAAGTCACATAAAACAAAGGATGATGAAAACAAATGCAAAGAGTTCAAAGACAGACATCTAATACATGGCATGTCAAATAGTTTTTTTAAAAAGGCCACTATAAATTCACAGGTGTGAATTCTAGTTTGAACATTTTAATCCACAGCTAACCATGAAATTGGGTCTTCAATTTGATGTTCTGTCTCAATTAATAACTGGCAAAGAAGTTGGCAGGTAATGTATTTGAAGCAAGACATTATTCTCTACCCTGGAAATCTATCATGTTCAAGATCTAATTTCAAGAGGAACCACTTCATGTGTGTTGGATGACGAGAAGCCCCCAATTGGGATGCAGCAATTTTTTGGATTTTTTGAGACAGGCTGTCACCCAGGCTGGAGTGCAGTGGCACAATCTTGGCTCACTGCAACCTCCGCCTCCTGGGCTCGCGTAATCCTCCCACCTCAGCCTCCTGAGTAGCTGGGATCACAGGTGCATGCCACCATGCCTGGCTAATTTTTAAATTTTTTGCAGAGACAAGGTCTCACTATGTTGCCCAGACTAGTCTTGAACTCCTGGGCTCAAGCAATCCTCTCACCTTGGCCTCCTAAAGTGCTGGGATTACAGGTGTGAGCCGCTGTGCCCTGCCACGGATGGAGCATCTTTGCAGTATTTCACTACTCTCAGCTCATGGCAGAGTGCTCAAAAGGCAGTGGCAGGGTTAGGGCTGAATTATGGAGCAGCAGGTCCAGTAAGTAGAAAGGGCAGTTCCCACTTAGCCTGAACACATTCTATGAAGTGGAAGAGGAAAGACCTGAGGGATGTCATGGCAACCACTTATGTTAGCAGGAGCATGCCCAAAGCTCAGACCAGGAGTGCAGGATAGGCCACTCAGGGACCAGGGGTGCAGGAGCAGCCACTCAAAGTCCTAAGTGCCACCAGGTCAGGACAGAGTAGGCTTTTGGCAAATAACAGTAAATGTTAGTTCCTAATGTCAGTTAATGACACCTGACCTGGCACATTCCATTTCAGCACCCTACCTTGTCCTCTGTGAAGGAGGCCACCCAAACTGTCTCACTGGTTCTAGGTACACAAAACCCAAATCTGAGAAATCCACTAAATTGGCAGGTAGGATGGAATAATTTATTATTACTATTATTTTAGAGACAAGGTCTTGCTCTGTTGCTCAGGCTGGAGTGCAGTGGTACAATCACAGATTACTGCAGCCAAAAACTCTTGGCCTCAAGCGATCCTCCTGCCTGGGCCTCTGAAGTACTGGCATTACAGGTATGAGCCACTGTGCCCAACCTGGAGTGATTTAACAACTGTTTTCAAATCAACATTTTGAAATAGTACTATATTTTAGCTTTCGGAATTCTAAACTTTGCTAGATCAGACAAGCTCAGTTTTCTTGAAGGCTGTAATCACAAGTAACAGCTAAAATAGGAAACACGAGTACATTTAGACAAACTTTGGGACTGTCAACTTACGTTTGTATCCTCCAGCAATGCCAGACTGTGTCAGACATCTCTGCAATTCATCAGCATCTATCTGCCCATCCTTTTGAAAAACAAATTAGAGGGATCATAATAGTGATTTGTACTTTCAAGTTATTTGTTTACCTTCAGCATTCAATGAAGCAATAACAACCAAGAAAATCAGTATCATCATGCATGATCTTTTATTAAAAGGAATGCCTTCCAAAAGTGGGCATTCTTTTCCTTAACCCACTGCCAAAATTAATGATGAAAGAAAGAGTCTGTCTTGGCAACTACTCTTCTGTCAATCTGAGCTAGGAAACTGCTACAGCTAAACATTTTAAAATAATTTATGTAAGTTGCTTAATCATAATTCCTTGTTTTCTTTTCTTTTCTTTTCTTTTTTTTTTGTTTGAGGCGGGTGGACAGAGCAAGCTACACACCAGACATAAGTAAAGAGAAGGCTTGGTTCAAACAGAAAGAGGCCTCTTGGTCACTTTTTCTTATGACATAGTGAATGTTTTTTTTCAGAGCACAAATACATCTGGAAGATACACATTAGGTTCCCAGTGCCTGTTCACTGGCTGAACTGGGAAAGAACTAGATATATGTGATTTTTAGGGACTTTACAATAAAATACCTAAATCCTCAAGTCACTGGGTATTATAGGTTATAAATGAGGAGCAAGAGCAACAATTTGAAACACAATGGGTATGCTGAATACAGGCCAGGGCTGCTGAAAGCTAAGCAGGTGGGGTCACTTACATGCTGGAGGCACTGGCAATCTAAGAATGCTGGTCTTCAGGTTTGCCATGTCTTGTGGTTTCAAAGATACGGATCATTAACAGATTAAGTAGACACTTAAGGGGAAGGTCTTCCAGTTTTAGACTATTTTTCCATTCAATTTCTTAAGCTGTATTTCTTAGAGTACTACCTTAAAAAGTGGTCTTCGGTTTTTTTATCCCATAATATTCTACAGTTTTCACATTAAAATTTTGCTATTTCTAGCTTTTGGTCAAAACAAGACTAGGTTGAATTCATAAGAACAAACATCCCCTCTGGACATGTCTGGGTTATACCGACAGTATATTTACTGTACACAGTGACCTCATGAGCTAGGGAAGTGTCCTCTCACAATGTAAGATAGCACCTGTCAATGTAAGACAGCTCCTGTCATATGACGCAGAATGCAGACAAGTGAAAGGTCTTGGGGAGCTGACCTTCTGCTTCTCTGGGTCAACAGGCCACAGCACCTAATAAGGACACGGAGCGGGAGGGGCTAACCTAGTAACAGCATCTGCGTCAAAGAGAAACTACATTGTTCACAAGATTAACTTCCTGATACTAATAAGGGGACAGTAACTTGCTTATTTAGAACCTGGTGGGTTTTTACCATATTTCCTAAATGGGTGAATGATTAGCAATCAAGTTCAACCCAAAGGAAGTGCCCATGAGAATCGGGCTATGTAATTACTAATAAACGTCTTTAAGTTGTACAAACAAGGGTTTATATTTACCAGATCTAGAATTTCTTCGCTGGAAACCACCCTGGAACATTTAATTCAACCACAAGTTTGGTTTCGAACTGAACTCACATAAATACGAGTAACACTTTGTCCTAATTTATTCTGAACATTCAAAAATAAACAACTAAAATAAGAAACAAAGAACTTTCTTTTTTTCTTTTTTTTTCTTTTGCAGAAGCAAAGGGACTCAGTACCAGAGGAAGTTCGCTTTTCAGTGTCACTATATCAAAAGCTACCACAAATGCGGACAATAACGGCTCTTTAATATTAAAGGTAAAAGCTAACCTGTCCAGCTACAGCAGCAAAGTAACCATACAGCGGATCCTGAGTTTGTCCGGGAAACGCAGGTCCTCCGGGAGCCCCTCCGTACTGTGAAACAGGAAACACAAACCCGTCATTCAAGTTTTCTTCTTTCACCACTGAGGGCTTTCGTGCAAGGCCAGACAACTGCCCGCCTGCCTGCCCTTCACAAGGCTCACCTCCCCACCCCCAGGCACACTCTGCCAACACTCCACCCCTCTCTTCCATTCACACCCCCGTAATTTAAAAACTGGCGACTTGGACCATAAAGAGTTGCTGTGGAAGTGATGTCTGCATATGTAAAGCAACTTTTAAAATCCCTATTAACTTGAAGGTTACTGAGGTGAGTGCAAACTAGGCAAGCCAATGAAAGGGCTTGGAATTCTCCTTTTGTTGTTACAGCATTTATGGTATTTTAAAAGCGTTTTATGAACGATGGAAGGCTGGAGTTGGTAACATTCTGAGACGGGTGTAGCCTAGGGAAGAGTAAGGTGTCTGACCGGGCTGTATCTCGTGGGTGGCGAGGGAACACTGCCTGTCTCGGAAACAGTTCCCAAGACAACGCGCATCCCAGACGCCCGGCAAGGCTGCCTTCCTACAGGTCTTTTACTTCAGTAGGTTTTCCTTTTTTTTTTGTCCCCCTTCTCACTTTTTTTTTTTTTTTTTGAGGGAGGAAGGTATATCGCAGTATCATTCTAGAATAAAATGACTGTTATTGCTTTGGGAGGCAACCGAGAGGGCGGGGGTGGGGTGAAGTGGGGGTTAGTCAACACCCAATTAACACGATTTCACGCCGCGTATCCGAGAAGCCGCAGGGCGGGCTTCTGGGGTCCCAATCCACCTTCACCTTGGGCCCGCAGAGCCATCCAGGAGAAGGGACGGGGAAACCAGGGGAGAGGACGAACCGCTGGGGCCTAGGGCGAGGCCGCGAGCGCAGGCAGAAGCCGAGGGCGGAAGGAGCCCGGGCAGCTGCCCAGCAGCGCCTCACCCCGCTGGCCGCAGCATCTCCAAGGTGGCCTCTTAGCGCCCCGGAGCCGCCTGGGCAGCGATCCCGCGCAATCAGCACTTACCCCGCCTGGGTAGTACCCGCCGCCGGCGCCAGGATGCCCTGGGTACGCCATGGTGCAGACTGCGCCGCCGCCTCCCTGGCTCTGTGCACCAAGCCTCCCAGCCGCCTGCCCCGCCCCGCCCTGCCGCGAGGGGGCCGCCCCAGAGCGCACCACACGGGCGTGGGGGACGCGCTCCGCAGCTGTCTTCAGTTCCTGCCTGTGCACGCGGCCGTGGCTCCACTGCCTGCGCGCTTCTTCCTATCTTTGCCATTACGGTGCTAACGTAGTGCACGACCGAAGGGCCAGTGGTGGCCTACGACCTGCGAGGCAATTCACACCAGGGACTTTCCTCCCTCCGAAACTAATGGCACATTCCAACATCGATACACCGCCCCAGGAATTCTTTTTTTTTTTTTCCGTCGGACTTGGCTATTATCTGGCACATTTCTTATTTTAAACAACTTTATTGGACAGGACGGAGCTACTATAAGCAGAGCGCACCATCGCGAGGCAGGGGCTGAATTCCTTCGGGCAAGTCTTAGGTGCTAGTGGGTGAAGGAGTCGTTGAACGATGGAAATACGAAAGCTCCCTTGGAAAACAAGAATTAACTTGACGAACGGTGTGCAAGGGAGAGTCTGGCTTGCGGTTGATTGCAAAGTTCATTCAACGACAACGGCGTATTTCCTTCCTAGGGGACAATTCCTTGCCTGTTTAAGCTGGGCGTCGCTCGTGTCCTGAGTAGGACAGGGGGCATTTTCCGGGCAGGACAGCCTCACCCAGATCGTTCTTAGCAAAATGAATTGTTTGAAGTATCTGGATGATTCAGACAAAACAATCCATTTCCCTAAAATTATTCAGCTACTTTTTATGTAAGAAAAGTTTAGAACAAAGTAAGAGTGTGTTTTTTCAGTATTCAGGAAGATAAGAGATAGGAACTTCAATGTAGGTTATTCTTCTTTACTTCACATATTTTTCTATCTCCCAGTTGAATAGTCCGAAGCAATTCAGGCGTGAGATTTTTGTTTTTTTTTGTTTTGTTTTGTTTTGTGTAATTTCAATGACACAGAAAAATGTTTGCTTGCCCTTCACTGTTAAGGGCTAGACTTAATGATTTCCTGAATTTTAACATAGTGAGAAACGCATTAATAAGCAAGATTCACAGTATTTGTTGTGGAGGTTGCACAGAAACATTTAAAGGGCCATCAACATTTCACAAATATTGGAACACCCGCCAGTGTGCTTTTTTGCTGTGGTGGACGGGCTTCCTCCATTCTAAATTCGTGGGCTATTGTCCTCATTCGGTTCATTGTTTTTCTCTTCTGTGTAACTTCCCTCGCAAGCCCTATTGAAAACCAAAGTCCGAATCGTGAGAAAAATTCTAATAGTCCCTGTTGTGGCATAGCAAAGACACTGCATGTTGCCTGTTTTGTGTTTGATTCAGGAAGCAGGTTACTGTTTTCAATCATCAAGGTAGCAATCATCAAGATAGATAAGACATCTAATAATGTCTGGTCTCTACCCTGGTCTCTCTTTGGAAGCCTGTTTCTTCAGAAAGAGGCAACCAACTGTAAGGAAGAGATGTCAGGGCTGAACTCATTGTTGAGTATAAGCTCAAGACTCAAGTTTGAAAGAAGTATAAAGCATATAAAATATTTTTAAATACTGCAGAATTAGCTTCGTGGATAAACGGCTATACGAATTGTCATATCAGTTGTGCTTAGACATCTTCCTACTGCTTTACTGCTAAGGAATTGCATTTTAATGGAGTGTTGCAAATTCGATTCTTACAATTATTGCTAACAAATTGGTCAGCTGCTAATACTTTAGTTTGCAGGAAAATATTGTGGCAACTTATAATAACATCAGACATATATATAATAATAAAAATATGCCAGATCCTCATCGCATTTTACTTATTTGTTCAATCTTAATAAAAACCCATGAGATAGGTACTATTATCTTTCTCATTATACCGTTGAGGAAGGGGAAGAAACAAAACAGAGCTGAGGTGTGCTGCCAAGCCATCTGACTCCAGAGTCTGTGCTCTACACCCAGGGGCAAGTAAAGGGCCAGGTAGTAAATATTTTAGGCCTATGGGCCATACAGTCTCTGTATGAGAGAGTCTACATACATAGTGGTATGTAGACTATGTAGTCATAGTGGTATGGCCACATACCACTCAGCTCTGCTGTGTCGGCCACAAGTATCCGTAGACAATAGATAAATGAATGGCTGTTGATGGTTTCCAGTGCAACTTTATTTATAGACACTGAAATTTGAATTTCATATGACATGAAATATTATTCTTCATTTTATTTTTTTCCAACCATTTAAAAATGTAAATATTATTCTGAGCTCCTTGGTGTACAGAAATAGGAGGTGGATCAGATTTGGCCTTTGGCCAGTAGTTTATCACCCACTGCTGGAAGCCCCTTCAGAATGTGGGCTTATGACTCTCGGAGGTTAGTACTTTAGCAAATGATTTGCTGACTATAAGATAAAGCCTATGGGTAGAATACAGTTATTTGTCTGAACGATTTACTAAGTTCCAAAAAAAAAAAAAAAAAAGACTGTGGGAGGGTTATGACAGCAGCATGGGTTAGGGAGAGAACTATGTGAGGTTTATAGATAGGATGTGGGTCATGGTTATTTTGGTAAGTCATTGGAATTACAGAAACCTTTCTGATCATATGCTCCAATCCTGCTGTTTTACAGAAGAAAAGACCAAGGCTGAGGGATGGCAAATATCTGGCCCCAGCCCTTGAAGGGCAGACCTAGCCAGATGTAAATATTTCATCCATCCCAGTTAAAGCTGTGACAGTAGCTAAACATGCTCTCAGAGAGAATCCCATTCTTTTGTGGTACACCTTCCCCAATTATGTTTTCAAGACAAAAGGCAGTGTGGACACTTCCTTATTCCTGGAGAAAAGTTAATGTAAAGCTCTACATATAGTATCCAAGCTGGACTTCTTCACTCAGATAAGTGGTGAAAGAAATAGTATAACTAAGTAACTGTAGTTATTTCACCATATCCTGCAGTTGAATTAACCATAGGTCTTCACTTGTCAGGAATAAATGAGCAATGACATTTGCCAATTTAAAGTCTCAACTTTTGTTTAGTTCTGATCTGTGTGTGGCACCTCGTGATTTAAAGACCTCTGCCTTAGAGAGAAACTCAGATCTCCAAATGTAAGTGGAAATGAGCGTTTGATAACAACATAGGTAACCAATTAATACTACTATCTCCATTTTCTTAAGATTGTTGGGAAAGAATGTGAAGCCTATGATGTTCATTTGGGAATAAAAGCCACCCTTTTTCTTGAACTGTCCAGAGTAAGAGCTCAGTTAATCATGCTATTATGTAATTTTTTCAAGGGATAGAAAACTTCCACTATTGATGTTTTAGTGCTTGCATGTAGCGTTTAACTGGTCCCTGGCACATTGTAGGTAGTAATGAATCATCAACCACAGCTCTTCAAACAACTTCTGTCACAATAGAAATGTTTGATATTTGTGCCACAGAATAACTAATCACATATGGCTATTGAGCCCGTGAAATGAGGAACTAAAATTTTAATTTAATTTAATTTAAAATGAAATAGCTGTGTGGCTAGTGCTACCCTCTTGAACAGTGCAGGGACCATTTTATCTTTGTTGGCTTCCTCCTGCCTGGAACTCAGAGAAAGCAAACTCATTTTGCTTGCCTGGAGTAGGCATGATAAACAAGATAAATCAGTTATTAACAAAACACAGCAAGGGCAGCCATCAGCTCTGTGACAAGTGTTCCCATATTCCTGTTCCTACAGAATAGATTCTTACTGACCTGTTCCTTCCCTTAATGAAGCTCTGAGCTAGAGTTGATGATCAGGATTAACCAGGAAGCTGAGGTTGGAGGAATTTATTATGGCTAAATAGATAGGCCTATATACATATATGTGTATGTATGTATATAGGTGTGCATATGTAAATATGTGTGTATTTTTACACACACACACACACTTTATATATATATATACTTTCTTGTCATTAGGGCTGTCAAAAATGACCTTCCAAAGATGAGTTCCCCATCACTAGAAGTGATCAGGAAGAGGCTCTCAGTGATGTAAAAGGGCAGGTTTGTACTTTGAGTAGGGGCTTGGATGAAATAATGCGCTATAGACTACAAAATATTTTCTGATGGCCTACTTAAACTTTACCCAGCCATGCCACGTAGATTATTCCTACTTCACAAGATGAAGAAACTGAGACTCTGACTTGCTCTAGGTTACCAGACTAATAGCAATTCCAGTATTAATTGCTCGTCTTGTCACTTCAGATCTTTTCTCAACCTCACACTATTTTCTCAGGACTCTTCCTTTTAAGATTATGCAATTTATATTGGATCAAGAATTTGGAGACATTGTTTTTCTTTTCCTGAACAGAATGTTTCAGAAATCAGAATATTAAATTTAAAGCAATTGTCTAAAATAATGTACATCTAGGTAATACTATTACTATCAATGATAAGAGTTAATTTTAGTGCAGATAATTATTTTTTGATGAACAAGATGTAAATATGCATGGCTAAATGGGTGGCTAAAGTGGTAGCTAAAGGGAGGTCAAGAAATGAATGCAAGAACTGGCTGTAATTAGTTTTTTTCTGAGGCTTGTACTGATTATCAAGTCTTTACAACTTTTACTTGTGACCATTACCATGTCTGGGACTACATAGAAAGCAGAATATTGAATACTGGACCTGTATGCTCAGGTAGAAAATCACCTGTGTTCAGCACCAGAGTTCTGTTAGGATGACTCTTCCTAAGAACATTGGACTAGTATATCATGGGGGTGTTAATTCTAGAAGCTAATTTTTGCAACCTAGGTCTATTTTTTCATAAAGGTCACTTTATGTCTGGTTCTCAGGCAAGCCCTCGAAAATTCTTTAAAGCCTTCAGTGTTCTCCTAAGGAGAAGCAGTCCTGGAGCCAGGGTAGAGCAGGGTAGGGACCCGAGAGCATCTAGGGCGTGGTTATTGCCTGTCCCCATTCCCATCTCAGTCCCTTTATCCAGCCAATCCTGATGTAACCAAGTTTACACAGAACCAGAGATAAATAGAGAAGCCAGACTTGTAGAGAAAGGAGGGGAAGATAATA